AAAATAAAATAAAATAAAATAAAATAAAATAAAATAAAATAAAATAAAATAAAATAAAAAGTAATTCACTAAAAATGGCTACCACTAATGTTTGTTGATTCTTTCTCCTCTATAGGGCCATCTAGGAGAAACATAAGGTGGTTACAGTGACTACTGTAGAATGACTTCTTTGCATTTTCACCTATGGGGAATAAAAGAGAATTCAATGTCTGTCTGTAAGAATTGAGTGCTCTTTTCCCATGGATTCCTGCTCCATTTGCAATATACAAGTGATGGCAGCCATTTCTTGACTCTCTTGCACTGAGGTCAGTGACAGCCTTCTCACTTTCACAAATGACCACCATGTCATCACAAGTCTCATAAAAATGCATCATCATATGTGTGAAAAAGAGATTACATAAGAGGAGAAGAGAGGGGAGTCTTCAAAGAAACTGTATTTCAGGGCAATTCACAATGAAAGCACACCAATACAACTTATCTGAATTTACAAACATCTTCATAGAGATTGTTAGATTCTAGGCAGATTCTTAGATTTACTTACGTGCTGGTAGTCAAAAATGGTGTCAGAGGAGTACATGCCGGATCGGACATGGACATCAGCATAGTTCTTCTTGTTGTCAATGGTCATAGACCCAGTGACATATTCATTGTTAGGTCCCGGCAGGAGATAACTCTTTGGTAAAAAGCATAAAACCATTGTTCATCTGGTTTGCACTTTTAAAGACACAGCATAAACCAAGAATATATGCCAATAAGCATGATTGCTTCATATAAATGTGAAACCCTCTAACTCTCTAGGAATCTCAGGAGGCACTTGAGGTGGGGACTAATTGTGGTAGTGGTTGAGAGGGGAGGGGACAGATCCACGCCACAGCCCAAGGAGAATTATGTTATATTTATTATTATATTTATATTACATTGTTGTACATGGCAGCAGAGAAGGCTGCAAGAGTCTTTCAACTTCAGGCTGAGCCAAGGGGACCTATGTTGCCTATATTTCTTGCTACTATACAGCTGTGCAGAACTGCCTCTTTGTCTTTTTGCCTCTTGTCATCTTTGATTAAAGCTACTTATTCTGTGCTTGGCAGTAGGCATTATTTTAGTTTCTTCCATTCTTCCTATTATATTCCTCCCTTCCCATCAATCTAATGCATTTTAAAGTACATGCACCAGTAAGCTTGCCAGTTTACTTACCTCCAATGCAGAACTTTGAGTCCAGAAGACTCCCAGCAAAATGAAAATTGCAGCCTGTAACAAGAGGAATGAGCATTTCACTCAACAGAAACACTGGGCAGTGCCATATCAATGAACAAGGCGAGACAAAAAATTCAGCTCATAAACTGAGGTGAGCAGCTATGCTGTCACTTTGAAATACTACCCTCTCCAAATGTGTGCTAGTTGAAAGCAATCACAGTTCTGCATTGTAATATTACTGATATTAGCTTTTTTTGCTTCTAATAGTAAAAATGCAGAACAACAGTGGCATTATTTGCATCTTTCGAAGTCACATTGCAGGTTACTTCTTAATTTGTCTCCACAATTGGAATTATTTAATCATTACTAAATCCCTGTTTTGAACTGTGATCAGGTTCTACATCCTCCACTGAAATAATGTTCTTACTGACTTCGGGGAGATTTCCCAATGAACAACCAAAAAAACCCCAAATATCCTGTTAGTCCCAGTACTGCACCACTACTCAGAACATCTTCTTTTCTATATTTTAATTTTAAAATGAACATACTATAATATAAATTGAATAAAAATGTGTATACTTACAAATGCCTTCATTTTTCTTTCAACAAGAGGCTGTGGAGGATAGGAACTCAAGAAAACTCCAGAGACCTTCAACTTTTATATCATCCAGTAGGTGTGGGTAACACTTGACAGAATTGTTCACTGACCACAACAAGTCCATATCTACATGCCAGAGTATCTGGTATCTGAAATTTTGGGCTGGCATAGATAACCAGATCTTGATATGTTAAAAGCAGTCAATACATCAGCTTTTGTGTGATTAATCACTCCCCAAATAGCTACTGTTTACTGGTTTAAACTTTAGTGGAATTTCCACTCCTTCTATTTCATTTTTTTTTAATATTTAACAGGATATTTTCTAGAACAAAAGGACATCAGGAACAACTCTGCTATTCATTCATACAATATGCATTTTGTCTTCTGAAAAACAACTCCTAAAAGCCTGATAGTCTTCAGAGAAATCCTAGAAAAAAATTCCAGCACCACTCATGCTTACGTGTCAGCAACTGAACAGACCAGCTTTTCTGCCATTTCTTCCATCTAGTATGTGCATGATCTTTTCTAACAAAAAGTAATGCTAATTTTTGATCAGACACCATGATATCTATCAGATGCACTGAAAATAGTGACATTGTTGGAAGTAACAATTTTGCTGCACAGGCACAATCTGTTTTACTGATTTTCTCCTCAATGCAAAAAGGAGTCACATGAGACTTCAGAGAATGTGTTCACATATGGCCACAAGAGAAGCAGAATGGAGATTCCTCCTTTAAAACTACAACTGTATCTTATATCAAAAGTCAATGACCATGGGACACCTCCATGAGTATTCTTCTGTGATTATGACCTTGCCTGGCCTCCTCATTTCATAGAATCATGGCATCATTAAGGTTGGAAGATCATCTAGTCCAACTGTCAACCCATGCCTGTGACTGCTCTACACCATGTCACTCAGTACCACATCTAACCTTTTCTTGAACACCTCCAAGGATGGTGAATCCACCACCTTCCTGGGCAATCTGTTCCAGTGCCCGACTGCTCTTTCTGAGAGGAAACTTTTCCCAATATGCAACTTGAACCTTCCCCTGGCACAACTAAAGGTCATTGCCTCCTGTCCTGTAACTCCACATCATTCAGTGCGCACACCTTGACCAATCACACATAACTTAAATGTTGTAATTGAATCCTGTTCCCTTCCCACAAAATGAGAATCCAGACCGAAAGCCAACAAATTGCTGTCATCTTAGTTACAGAATCAGAGAATGGTTGAGATTGGAAAGGACCTTTGCAGGCTATCTGCTCTTATCCACTTGCTCCAGCAGGGTCACCAGAGCTGCTTTCCAGGACCACATCCAGTTGGCTTTGAAGATCTCCAATGAGGAGACTCCAGCACATCTCTGGGCAGCCTATGCCAGCTCTCTGTGATCCACACAGCACAGAGGTGCTTTCTGATACTTAGACGGAACGTCTTGTTTTCCAGGTTGTGCCATTTGTCTCTTGTCTTGGCACTGAGCACCACTGGAAGGAGCCTCAGTCTGTCTTCTTTGTATCCTCCATTTAAGTATTTACATAATTTGTTGAAATGTCTGTTAAGCCTTAAAGTTTCTCAGCTAAACACTGCCAGCTATTTCATAGAAAGAAGAGGTACTCCAGGCCCTTCAGCATCTTTGTGGCCCTACACTGGAATCCCTTCAGTACATCCAGGTCTCTCCTGTACTGTGAAGCCTAGAACAGGACCCAGTACCCCAGGCCCACCTTCACTTGGATTGAACAGGGGAAAAAGACTACCTCCTTTAAATTGTTGGCAATACTTTGACTGATGCACCCAGGAATGCTGCTAGCCTTCTTAGTGGCAAGGCCACATGGCTAGCTCATGGTCAACTTGGTGTCCACTAGGATTCCCAAGGCTTTTTCTCCAGACCTGCTTCCCACCTGAAGGACTAAATTCCTTCACGACAGGTGTAGAATGTTGTATTTCCCTTTGTTGAACTTCATGAAGTTCCCATTAGACCATTTCTCCAACCTGTCCAGGTCCCTTTGGACAACAGAATAATCTTCCAGTGAATCTGCCACTTTCTCAGTTCTGCATCATCTGCAAACTTCCTGAGGGTACACTCTACCCATCATTCAGATCATTAGTGAAGATACTGAACAGTCATTAATCAACTGAAGAAAAGGTGAAACATGTCATCCAGGCCTACAAGTAAGCCTCAATATAAAAGTAAATTGCATGCACTTGCTTTACACCACGCAACTCTACATGGACAGTGTTATCTCCAGTGTAACAAATCTGTGCTGCTAAGCAATATATCAGAACATAAATACAAACACACATGAAACTGTGACAAGCGGGGTTAGATTAGTTTAAATTAGATTAGATTGATGTTGCCCTCCTGTTGAAAGCTGGCCCTGCCCCTTCTTTTCAAATGGTTATTTGTTTGCAAGATTACAACCTTTCACAGCAGGATTCATGAACAAGCCCAAATGAAAACCTTTAATAGGTTTAAAACTAACGTTAAATTAAATTTCCAGTATTCATTATGTCTTTATATATTAATTTCTTTCGAGAAACTGCCATGGCATTGAAGCATGAGCTTCTGCTTTCCTAAGCCACACATGAGAGTAGATTAATCAGCAGTATTTAGTGAAGGAGACATACAACAGTGGCTGTGTTCTCATTATTTCCACCGTATGTTGAAAGGATTGAATTTTGCTGATCCTCTCAGGTGAGGCCAAAAATAAAAGGTTACTTTCTAAAAAGCATTTGACTAATTAATCTTACTGCAAGAGAGAACACACTTCTAGTTGGCTCGTGTCAGTAACTTGAAATCCATAAATCTCCCAGTAATGTATCTGAAATTATCATAGAATCATAGAATCATTACGGTTGGAAAAGACCTCTAAGATCATTTACTCCAACTATCCACCTACCACCAATACTGGCCACTAAACCACGTCCCTCAGTGCCACATCTCCACCTTGTTCTTCAGCGCCTCCAGGGATGGTGACTCCAGCACCAACCTGGGCAGACTGTGCCAGTGCCTACCTACTCTTTTGAAGAAGCTTTTCCTAATATCCAACCTGAACCTCCCCTGGAGCAACTTGAGGCCATTGTTTTGCATTCTTTTGCAGAACTCTTCCCCGACCCCAAAATTTTACAATGGTATCCACTCTCAATGCAGTCTTGTTTCAGATAATTTTGATCTAAATGAAGACTTTCAAACTTTTCCCCACATGCATGGTTGTGATAACTAGATGATCTTAGAAGTCTTTTCTGACCTTAATGATTCTATGATTCTTACTGATTCTACACAGTCAGCTGTTACGCTTGCAGTCAGATCGGTCCTATCAGCACAGAGAAGCTTATTCAGAAAAAGGAATGTATTCCTACAGCACAGAAATGTATATTGTTGCAAAAAACTTATTTCTCAGCTCATTTCATAAGGCCAAGTATTTTAAAATACATTCTAATTTACCTCAGTAAAATATTCTTAAGTTAGCCTTAGTCTATGTGATGAAAATTACATGAGGAATTTGATACACTATTTGACACCACCATCCAGTAAAAATCATTTAAACAAGCAAACCTTGACTATCGTATGAAAAGAATACTTGTATAACTTCAGTTCACGTCTGATAACCAAACAGGAATTTCAACATACAAGGGAGAGAGATTTAATCAAGTTAATGTGGGAATAATGCTATCAAAACAAACTTTCTTGGTGACTAATGCTTTTATTCATGTTCTTTTGATAAATATTTGCTTTATCAGGGAGTGAGTAGGTAGTGGGAGGAAAGTAAAGAATGAAGCAACGCCTCAAAGAGCAACAAAGTTCTCTGTGCTTATGTTTGCATTCAGCTGGGCACACCAAACATGGGATCAAAATCCATGTTGTCCATGGATGGGGCAAGCAGAATTTGTCAAATTCAGCAGTTAGAAAAACAAGCTTATAGGGTTAATCCACCAAAAATTTCTGTAGTTTTTATTCTTTCTATACTATAAGGTATGAAAAAAAACCCTACACGTGAAAGCATAAGTCTAGGGTTAAACATTCCTCAGCCTTGGGAGTTTGCTGCACAGTGGTACAAGAACTTATTACAGAAGCAGAGAATGCTTTGATCAGAGCTTTAAAATCAGGCAAAGAGATATAGAAAGCTTGTGTTGGAAAAAGAACAAGATCTCATACTGTAATTGCATCCCCTCCCTGCCCTTATTCCTGGATTCTAATACTGCAGTTAGTTCCATCAGCGATTCTTAATGTGAAATGCTCTAATTGTGTGTTTGCCATGCAAAGTACTTCAGTAATCGAAAGTTGATGGAAGATTTGGAGATTCAGGCTTCCAAGTGTGATGCATCATAATAATGGCCAAATTGGCGATGGTTGTTAGAACAAATGGACCAAACCATTTGTTCCAGCTCATTAGTAATGACACCATGGGGACAAGCATTACAGAGTTCAGCTTCTCAATGCGTTTCTTGGGAACAAGTCAAAAATTAAATTTCCAGAGACTATGAGAGGATTTCACGACATTCAAAATAAACTCCTGTATAGTTTGGATCTTTGAGTCTAAGAACATGCAGGTCTCCATTCTGCATCCGCAGATCAACTGGAAGAAGGAAATCCTTGTGCTTAGTAATGTATTACTTTCATTCAACGTACTGTACACCTCATGCAAATTGCAAAGTGGGTGCAAAATTGAGGGAAAAGCAGTTCTTTCACCCACAGTGCTGCAGTCCAACAAGACATCCATTACTAATAAAATGGAGCCGTCACTGTTACAAATGAGAATTAGGCCTCATCTTCTTAATTAAAGTCAGATTTCCTGCCCTTTTCAATTACTCTTATTCAGCAACTGACAGCATTGGATAATTCGTTTCAGAGACATTAGTTCATATCAGAATTCCCACCGTGCCATTCCAGAAATGCAAAGGAAACAGAGTGTGCCAACCCATACCAACTACTGCAAGGTGCAGGACTGATGTACTGATAGAGCTTCTGTTAAAGAAGAAATGCTTTTCAAGTATTTAAATGAGTACCTCTTAAACTGCTTCTTCTTTAATGAGCAGAGCTAAGAAACAAATCCAAATTATCTGGGGGTATGTAGGGATGATGACCTTGTAGATGACCTTTAAACGTCCATTCCAACTCAAATTATTCTATTCTAAGTATCTCTGTACATTACGCAGCAATGGAGATCATTCTTGGGAAACAAGAATCGGCCTTCTTCATGGGCCAACGAAAATATTATGCAAACATTTTGAAAGATTTTGCAGCAAACAAGGCTAATACATTTTTCCTATGGCTCCATATGTAATTACCAAACTCAGATGAACATTAGAAATCAGCTTTCTACATAACAATTGATATAAATGTCTGTTGTTATTGCTCCTGCCTTACTCATCTTTTATAATTTCAAGTATAGGGTCCCTTTCTTGAATAAACTTTTGTTTTGTAATCAGCATGTCTGTAAATTGTAATTAGTACTTCTGTGCAGAGCTGAACATGCAGAGGCCAGGTCTCAAGGATAGAAAGCAGATCCTAAGGACAAAACAGCACTAAAGGATTCACGAGAGAAGGCAAGCAAAAGGACTCAATAACTTCTATTATATAGATCCAGCTCTGTCATTGCTGGGGACATGAATTAACACCTTTTACATCAACAGAGATGGTAATATTGCTATTTTTAAAATGTAATGAGCTATGAATAAAAAAATTAGGCTGAGTTCTTCATCACACAAAGAACAACTACAGATTTTATTAGGCATCCATTTTCTGGTTCTGATTTTTTTTCTCCTTTTAGAAGTTACTGTTGAATTCTTTCATCTTACCATTACAAGATTTCTTTAATCTTTCAATATGTAATGAGTTCGATTAGGTTTGTATCAAAGCCTACTCTTATCAGACTGCTTCCACAGGAAACTCGTCATGATTCTGTGAACAGAGGACACCTGCCAAGAAGGTAAACCCATTTTACTTTGGGATATTACTCTATAAGAAGTAAGAGTACACATCAATTACCAGCAGAACCTGCCTCATCTACCATCAAAATGAAGTTCGCTGTAAGTACATATATCACTTTCTCATAAAACTGCTAATGTTGGAGAGTTTTTAAATTATTTTGAGTCTTTCTTGGCACCTATAGGACTATCACTGAATTATGTAGGGTTTACAGAGCAAAAAGGCCAAATGGGTTGCAACTTCGTGGGTGAAATTTCATTTTTGGCAGTGACCTCATTCCATAAGCTTAGCCAAACAAGTGCTCTGTTTCAAGGGTGAGATGCACACGTAAAATCTAGGAAGGGCAATGCTGTCTCACTCACAAGTCAATGGTCTTCCTGAGCTATCTAAAGTTAATTTACAGCTGTCTGTCAAGAGCATAAGAGAAGAACCGTGAGCTGTGGGGGACTCAAGTGCATGCATGAGAAAAGGGCAGCGGTATTCATAGCGGTCTGAAACTGCTGCAGGATAATTTCCCAAATGTTAAACACTCTGAGTCACACTTGGATCTAACTATTAAAAATTCGCCTTTGAAGTCAGAGAAATTTTTGATGGGTTCAGTATTTGAGGATTTGTCTCCAAGAGAACAATTGTCCACAATGGTTATTGTTACAGAAGCATTTAGTATTGAATCCTACATAAAAATATATCAGCAGGACTTTTGACCCTAAGGAAATCTGAATATGAAGCATGGGATAATCGAAACAACATAATTTTAGAGAGGGGTAGCAATGTGCATTTGTACAGAAATACACTGCCTACCCTCTTCAGCTTTGTATTTGGATGCATGAGATCTGTTATGAGGACTTTCAAGTCCCATTTCTGCTGTGTTCCAAGGACACAGCTGTGCTGCACGCTCATATTCCAACCCTTTGCAATGGTAGACATGGATGCTTGCTCTGAAAATCAAGAAGCTCATTGAAAAGTTCACTCTTAAAAAGAAATACTTCAGTCCAGCTTTTTCCAAGAGGGCACAGAATTGGGGCTGGAAATTTTTAAAAAAACAGTGTTTAAATGAGCTTTTTTACCTGCACAAAATACAATTCTAAGGTTAAGAGCAATTTATATGAATTGATTATTTGATTTAACTGCATATTTATGTACTCATCAGATAAACTCCAGAAAAATGCTGAGCATGAAGCTAAGCAAGAAGTAAAGCTTATTTTAAGACAGAAAATAACTTGACGCAAGATGAGCATATGTTATTGTTCATTTCAGATTGTGCTTGCTCTCTTTGGAGTTCTCCTGGCTCCAAACCTTGCTGAGGAGGTAAGTATAGAGCAAAGATGCACCACTGCCATAAGAACTGATGGGTTTTAGTTGTGACAACTGAAAAATATATTTGTGAAAATGAAGCTGTGTTCTGAAATCGGACATTTAGCATGAAACTACCTTTTTTACACTAGAGAACGTATATAGGTGGTAGATGTATCAGGAGAAAATATCAATTGCTAGATATGAAATCAGCAACCAATTCTGACTTTCAGATTAGCATAAATACTGTTAAGTATTTATGAACATAGTATGGTAGCAGTGAATACAGTGAAATATGGTAAATTGTTGCAAATTCCTCTGGTGAAAAGGAAGAGCAATAAGGAACTATTTCATTTTTCCTACTTTTTTTTTTCTTCCAAATTGCACTCTCAATATCAAGTCCAGCTTTTAACTTTAAAGGAAATCACCCAGTGTTTAAATGTTTTATACCCAACTTTTCCACCTGGTCTGATACTCTATAAAGGGGGAGAGGGAGGAAGGGTTGGAGCAGTTATGTTAAAGCCTGCCTGCCTTCACAGAGAGGATGCCAGTAGATATACATGGAAAACAGGTCTTACTGAAGTCTGAATGTAAAGTTTGATGCAAAAGTACTATGGCCTTTGCAGTGCCAAGGCTGGAATTTATCTCCTTTTTATTCTGGCCTTTGAGAGTAATTATTTTCCAAAGTATGGTTACCAGAACAAGAACATGAAACACCTCTGGGAATCTCCTAACCTAAATCCTCACTATCTTTAATTTGTTTCCAAAACCAGAACCACAGGAGGGCTGAGGGTGAAGGTCCAAACCTTCCATCCCGTAATGAAGGTCCACCCCGTCCATCCCTTGGCGAAAATCCACACCTTCCACTCCATGGCGAAGGTCCACCCCGTGCTGAAGGTCCACACGAGCCAGCCCGTAATGAAGGTCCACGCCATGCACGCCTTGGCGAAAATCCACACTATCTAATCCACCATGGAAATCGACGCCATCCACCTCGAGTTGGAATTCCACCCCACCCACGCCCTCATTTTGGCAACCGTGGGTTTGCCATCAGGCCACCTATGTACCCTAATAACTGGAAAACTGTCTGGGATGCCAAGACTGTAAGTGGCTGCCCCTATGGCTCAAGCAACATTTTGGCTTCTACCACAAGGGGTCACAGTGCAAGCTGATAATGAGTAGACACTGGTGTTACTTGGTTGGTCTCCTCTTGATTAAGGTGTAGGATGGTTGATGTAAGAGCAAGCAGTCCAAGACAATCTGTGGGGACAACCAACCACGTAACCAAGTTGCACATTTGTTCAATGAGTTCAACAAAGACCATGTAAAGCTGCAAACCTGCTTCTTCTCACACTGCTGCAAAATCCAAATTGGTGCTTAGATTAGCACTGGAAAAAAAATGTTTTTAAGAAGCACCTAGGCTTCAGCAAGATCATGAGGCTTTAGAGACGGTGCTTTAAAAATCCTCCTATTTAAATATTCTATAATTTCTGATGCCCTGAATTTCATATGGCCTAGATAATATAACACCACATACACGTGGCATTACCAGTCAAGGCAATTTATTTTACTTGTGTCAAAGTCCATCATTAGCCACCAACATTTACCTAAGCAATATAATTGACATTTTCCTTCCCTATGATTAATTATACTATATAAAGCCTTTGAAGTGCAGGTTTTGTTGTTGTTGTTGTTGTTTTTGTTGCCGTTTGTTTTTGTTTTTGTTGTTTTTTAATAGTCTTTCTTTTAAATGTATATTTTAATAGGGTTTCATCGCAACCAAGGTACTGGGAAAAAACACCTGCATCATTAGCAAAGCTGACACAGGATTTAATGGATTTGAGGTATGCTGGTGAATGAAAGTGCTGAGAAAGTTAACCAGCTGGGAATTATCAGTCTTGGGGAATGGCACTGTGGGGAGGGTGGACAATTGAATTTTATGATCTTAGAGGTCTGATCCAACCTTTATGATTCTATGATTCTATGAGCATGGTAGGGATGGGTGGATGGTTGGACTAGATGATCTTGGAGGACTTCTACAGCCTCAATGGCTCTATGACTATTATTCTCTATCAACGTAAATGAGAAAAGTTTCCTATAGTGAAGTTTCTCAGCAGGGTTGAGTTGCTCTAAATACCTCAAAAGCTGCATCAAGTTAAATAAATAGAAGTTGAAAAAACCCTTCTGTATTATGAAAACTCTAATTTTATTTTATTTTCCTAAATGCTGTATTCTGGTGTTATGTCTTTGACACTAGGGAGCTACCTCCCCTGAGTTCCTTCCACCCATAGAGCATCGTTACGTGATCTCAAACGACAGACTGCTGAACCTGTACCCATATGGAGCACGCATTCAAAGACTGTGCAGAGGAGTTCCCACTTACTTTGCTTTCCCATCTCCTGGTGAGTATAATGGTAACTAGCATTTTGCATACCAAAATAAGCACTAATAAGACTTTTGTCTAAGACGATTGCACCAGCAGTGGCTTGTAGCATACATCTACAACTCAGTTTTTAAATTCAGCATTTCTGGTGGTAGAACATAATGATAGAAAAATGTCACCTACATTGTTCTTCTGTTTCCTCAATTCAAATTTAATCGGCTTTTTTCTTTTCTTGTAGGGTCAAACTTCTCAGAGGATGAACCCTCATGTATCAGAAATACGTTCAGAAATATGAGAATCATTTACTGCAATTTCTCCTGGTGAAATTTTGAAGAAAATACACAGATCTGTGTACCCATGAAGAAGCCTTTTTTCCTTGATGATCTGATCTTGATCACAGTGTCAATCATGTATCTGTCTTCTCCTTTGCTCTTTGTGGAGCATATTTTCTTTCAGTAAAATGCATCATCAGCCTCCACTAGTCTGTGTTTTTACTGACCCTTTTAAAAAGCAGAAGCAGCACAAAAGCTAAGTTGCTAAACTGTAATTCCTAAAAATTCCAATTTTGGCATTTAAATCTGATCTTGTAGTATTTCCCAAAGAGATTTGACAGTAAGAATTTCCATTACTGCTAAAATAAAGTGGTGTTACACACTACATAACCATATCAGAAAGAATTAAGTCCATATGTATAAAAACAAGCATATTTGTGAATTATTTCAACTTATTGCTAAAATGCTGTTATACCATGTTTTATTAAAAAAAAAAAAAAGCACTGCAGTGCATTACAGCCAAATACAAATGCAGAAATCAAGCTTTCAGTAACAGAATCATGAAATGAAATGCAGTTTGTGATTGAATATAGCTATTATTTCCCACTGTTTCACCAATATTTAACACAGGAAATAAAAAAGCCCACACCCTAATCAAACAAAAGTGCTGACGGACATTTTAGAGTTGAGTTGTAGTTAGGCCAAAACTAAAGCAAAATGGCTGGAATTCTTTTCTTCCATGGATCTGAAAGGATTAATCCAGTGATTGGGGTTGGCTGGAGGACTCTTTTGTCAGATGCTCTTTTCCTGGAGTTTTAACCTATGAGATGCTTTATTTTTCATAGAAGTTGATGATTACTTTAAGTTAAAGATAAAGCAGCCTTTTTGCTCAGCAAAATGTAAAATGAAAGCAAAACCAAAGTTTGTTTGCCTGTATCCCAAGTTTTTAGAACCTCCAAACAAAAGTAACCGTGTGACTGCAGTATTTAAACAAAGCTCCTGACCGACTTGCTGGGGGTTTCTTCTCCTTGTCCAGCTTTACCCTTCATTTTCCCTGAGACAAAACAGACACTCTACTTATCCAATTGCTTGTCACTGGGAAATGTCTTTCGAGGGGCCTTCTAGTCTAGTCCCTGTGACAGATGATGCACCCAACAAGGGGCAGTGCTGCTCCAATACTGCCTCCAGTTAAGGTAAAAATTTCAGAGGGCACAAAACATGAGCAGCAAGATCCAGCTTCTGCCTAAGCCACTTAAACTACACGGACATAGGTTCCAATTAGTGCATTATCACACACTGCAACATGAGACTGCAAGAGTACCAGTACCAAGATGAGCCCCTGAGGGGACAACACTTGTCACCACCTCCATTTGGACATAGGTCCATTGACCACAGCCCTCTCTGGCTGTGATTGTCCAACCAAATCTTTATCCACCTAGCAGTCTACCCTTCAAATCCATATTTCTGCAATTTAGAGATAAGAATGTGGCGTGGACTATGTCAGAGGCCTTGTACAAGTCCAGGTAGATGACACAGTTGCCTTCCCTTTGTCCATCAACACCGTTGCTCCATCATAGAAGGCCACCAGGTGGGTCAGGCAACAAATCAGTTCTCCCTCCTCATTTACCAGAGGGGCTACACTATCCCTTGCCTGTCTCTTCTGACCAATGTATCTAAAGAACTCTGTCTTTTATTTTTCACATCCCTTCACAAGTTCAACTCCATCTGTGCCTTGCTTTTCCTGATCCCATCTCTGTAGCTCTGTTTTTCTCCCATCACACAGCAGGCATAATACGAAGATTCAGTTGATCTTATGTCTTTTTTCAAATGGGGAAAAGTTTCAAAATCATGACTTGAATAAAATTTAAAAAGCCATCAAATAATCTATTAAACAGAATAGAATCCAGGACCCTGGTAGAACCTAATTTGCAAGAGTGCATAAAAAGCCCCTTAGGATGTGCAGACTTGCCTCAGTTATGCAAGAATTTGATCTAATATTGCTCCTGCATCACAGGTTAGAGGTGATTGAGAGAGAAAAGAAAAGAAATTCCCTCAGTTTTTGAAAAATGTGCTGAATTGCAGTTGGACAATCTCAGACTCTTCTGGTTTGCACTGATTGCACACAAAATCGAACTGAGCAACTTGAGGGGAAAACCAATTATTAAAAAAAGTCCCTGAGAGAATCTTCGTCTCTTCACAATCAATTTTTACTTCACTATGGAAGATAAGCCATGGCAAGGCGAAAAAAGATGTTGTTGATGGCTACAATAATAAAGACAGCCATAGACATTCGCATATGTTGTAATTCAGCTGAAATTTTACTGAAAAGCAATTTTTGGTGCCAATGTTGCATTTAGGTTGTACATTCTGGTGGAGCTGTGGTTCTACGGTAAAGTCCAGTATGTTTTGGAGGGTGCAAAGGCCCTAACCTATGTGTATTTTCCCTAATGCAAGGATATTTTATTACGACCTTAGATTATCTCTGGTCTCCATTTTGATGTAAATTTTCAAAATTAGACAGCAAATATGTCAGAAAGTTATCGCAAAACACATTTCCTTTTTCACTGCAAATGGATACTTATCTGATAATTCTGTCAGACTGATAGGTCAGAATTTGCATAAGTATAACCCCTCCATTCATGAAACAGTTATGGCAGGAAATAATGTCCAATGACACAAAGACTTGGTTACAAATTACTAGATAATTTTCTTTCCATACTTAATCATTCTGTGCCTGATCCTGAGACCAGCGTATATAAGCTGGATAGTTTGCCCCATTCGTTCCATCTGCACTTGCATCCGCTCTGCAGTCAAGATGAAATTCACTGTGAGTATGCAAGCTACTTTCTTATTCTATACCAAAACTCAAAGCTATTGCCTTTTACTTCTTATGTACTATAACTCAAAGCTATTGCCTTTATACCTTGGAAATGCCTTTGCTCATTTATAGTGAAAAGTTACTCTCTGGGGACATTTCGCTCCTCCATTTCAGACTGTATTAGCCTAAATAGATGAAGGGTAAGGATCTTCGTAAAAGCTGATTTATGCACTATTCAGTCTCACAAGATCAGCGCCCATTTTTGCCAATGGGCTTTTTGTGATCTGGAGCACCATGCTATGGATCAAACCACTTTCTTGTGATGTGTGTGCAGAGGAAATTTAAATTCTCTCTCCTCACTCTTGTAAAATATCTATGTATATTGTACCAATGCTGTATTGATCTCTGTAGCAAATTCAGATCCTGCTCCTAGAAATGCAGATTGCCAGTATGAGTTATTCTAGCATAAAGCAAGGATGAGTCACTTCAGGTGACCATTGCAAAACCAGTATGGAAGCAACAGGTATCCAAGGAGGACATCTCCACATCAGATTAGGAAAAAGGATTCTCATGACAAGATCTGTCAGCCAGACTTGCAGTTACATTTTTATACTTTCAATGTTCCTTTCAGATTGTTGCTACCGTCCTTCTTGGACTTGTGCTGACTCCGGCTCTTTCACAATTCCAAGTGAGTACAGTGACCGAGTTATACATTGCTGCTCTTCTTCTACATTCCCTACTTCCTGAACTTTACTCCTCTCTTCAGAGGAAAAAAATCTAAATGTTTTTCATGCACAAAGTCCTGAAACCACAAGAGAACCACTATAAAATTATCTATTGTAAATTATTCATTAATATATTAAAATTATTCTTAGAGCTACTACAGAATGCTATGGCCTTACTCTTTCATCATTTTGACAGTACCGTGGTCACTGAAGGCGCACCTTATGAGCCAGCATTTGTTATATCATAGCACTGATTTACCTAATTATTTTCTGATTTTCAGTTATCTCTGGGGAGATCACTGACTATCAGTTGGAAGTCTAAAAATGTTATTTTTGTTTTCTAGTTTCAGAATGTGAAAGTAAATGGGGGACAATACCCTAGGACAATCACCGTCAATGTTGGCCTTGGCCTCCAAACACTGACCATCAGTCCAAATTCCCTTGTGGCAATTATTCAGTCAGATTCAGCTGAGAATGCATGGACAACTGTTTGGAACTACGGAACTGTAAGTGGCAAGGAGCATGCTTTTTCAGAATATTTACAAAGAGCCTAGCTCCTATAATGCCCAGGGAGGTGGTGGAGTCATCATCCGTGGAGGTATTCAAGAACCGTGGAGAGGTGGCACTCAGGGACATGGCTTAGTGGCCATGGTGGGGGTGAAGCAATGGTGATCTTAGAGGTTTTTTTCAACCTTGATGATTCTATGAGTGGGCATGGTGGTGATGGGTTGATGGTTGGATTAAATGTCTGAGAGATCTCTTCCAACTTTAACGACTCTAAGATTCTATGAAAGCTGACCAAAATAAAGAATTATTCTTATCAAGTCAAAGTTTGGGGGTAGAAACACTCTATGTTCGTTACTTTGTTTTTTAATACAGATCTCTATGATTTAAAAGCTGAATTATTGCGTTCCAACTTTTTTTTTTACAGGGCTACATTGCAACCAAACTTGGACAAGAGGGAGTCTGCTATATTTCCACAATGAACAGAGTCCTGATGCCTGCTCTTAACTCAATTGCTGTCCTTGCTGAAGAGTCTAACGTAAGATAAAAAGGGGCAGTTACTTTTCAGACTTTCCCAAAACAACAAACAACTAATGACTATAATAGCATGAGTGTTCAGCTTATTAGCCTTTTATAGATACAGACTCCATTTAAACTCTGAGAACTAAGTCATGAGAGAACATGGATTGGTGGATGGTTGGACTAGGTGACCTTAATTGTCTTTTCCAACCTCAATGATTCTGTAATTCTATGGGCATGGTGGTGATGGATTGATAGTTGAACTAGATAATCTTAGTGATCTTTTCCAACCTTAAGGATTCTACAACTCCTTAATTCTTTGAACATCACATATTCATCTCAGCCTCCACATTACTGGTATGATTTAGAACAGGAGTCATGTGGCTGTGGCTGAGTTATCTATACAAACCAGCACAAAGTCTAGGTTGTGAGAGAAAATACAGGTATCCAGAAATGGTGTCCAATGGACAAATCACTTAACAAGGAAAATATGCTTGAAATTCAATGAAAACAAAGAACTCTGGAACAGTTAAGAGAATTTATCCCATTAAAACATAATTCTTAAGATCATAAGAACTGCTTTCAAATTATTTTAATGTAGATACATTTGCCAACTTTCCTATTGCTCCCCTTGGTTCCA